CTCCATCCCTTCTCCTTCAACAACTGTTGCTATACCACCTTTCTACAGATGCAGAGAAAACTTGCCTGTGTGTGGCTTGGAGCCTTTGCAGAAAATAGCATCCATTATTCAAAGGATGAGTAACAGCTCACACATTACATGTTGTGTTTCCTTTTTTTTTTGTTAAGAAATGCCTGAAAGAAAGGCTAGCAACTTCTTTGCAGTGAACACCCATGGAGAACTAGAAAAATTCCCAGGTTATGGATAATTTTGTGTTTTGCAGCTTCCCAAAACTCAGGTATTTTTCACAGACACATGATATTCTCTTGGAAAATCTGTGCCCTGCCTGTCATCTCAGCAGTAACTATGTGAAATTGATATAATTTTCTTTAACTTCATCATCTACCAACTTCTGAATAGCAGCAGTGAAGGTAAAAAATGCCACCAATTTTCCCTCAGTAGTTGCAAAAGCTGTGAATGTGCTGCTCTGACACCAAAGCTCCCAGGACTTGAAAAATACCTGGCGCTTTGCAAGAGTCTGCATTCAGCCAGTTGTCGCAAATAATTTCTGAGAAGCTCACATTTTCTGATTAAACCACTTTTCCTTGGCAAACTTCACTGGCCAACTGCAACGGTAACAGCCTGTCTGCCATTATTTCATATTAGAGACAGAGAAAGATGCTTCAGGAAACGCAGCTTTTATTGTCTTAAAAGCTGGAAGGATTCACATAACACTACTCCGGAAAAATTATAAGCGACTTCTAGGACGAAGACTCCTTACAGACAGTGGGTTGAAGAACAGAAGTCACTTCATCTCTTGCTTTCAGAGTTTCAGCCAAAGCCATTGAAGAGAGGGAAGCTGCAATACAGATGTTCCCAGGCACTCAGCTAGGGGCTTTACTGACAGAGGATAGGAGGTGAAAGACCACTGTGGCATCAGTGGAAAGTGCAGACGGGAGCCACAGAGAGAGAGGATGAGAGACTTATCTCTCTTCAGAGCGGGTTTTTTTGAAAGACAACTAACCGGAGCCCAGATGTGAGTTTTTAGTTGTCTTAAGAAGCTGGGTGAGGCATAACCTGTTATCTGGAGAGGTGATGGTAATAGCTAGCAATAAAATAAACCAGTCAAAGTACTCCATTTTGTCTCCCACAAAGGATGTTTTATTTTTATTTCTTGGTTATGGGTAGTTCTGTTTGATCAGCTTGAATCTGGACTTGAATGAACGTTTTACAGTTGTGGAGAACTGCAGAGGTTTGAGTTTTCACTATTTTAATCTAATTCTTTCTTTTTAACCTTAGGCTTACATAAAAGCACCTACATAGAAAGTTCATAATACAGGTTATTTGTATTAAATATTTCTGACAGGAACATCCCAAAATGATTCACAACATCTTCCCACTAGCTTTCTCTCACACTTTTTGACAGCCATGGAGTGAAATACGTCTCTCTCTGTCAGTAATTTAAGTAAAATGGCACTATTTTATCTGCTCCCATCTCTAGTCAATTGAGTCTCTTTTCAGAGTATGTCCCTGATTTCAAGTGTCTAGTCTGTACCTACTAAGAAAGTCTTGTTGGTTCCTATACCATCGTGCTGATCAGGTGCAGTAATTTTTTTCTGTTATTGACGTTTTCAAGCTCATTTTTTAACCTCAAAGGAGATTACACCAAGAATGAAATACTGGCCAATACCTGTAAACCCAAAATATATTGCTTAGGGGAATTTTTCTTCTCTGTAGAAAACAGACTTAGTACATTTTCTCAAAATCTCTTGATCCTTTCTACGTGCAGCTCTTTTGAAGTACACAAACGTGATGCTGTTTACGTTACTACAGATGGGTGTTAAGGTGCCTTTTATGTTCTAAATCAAAATTCAGTGAGATTTAACAATTTGTGAACGGCTGCAAACCAAGTATGTAAGGTCGGCTTTCTGACTCTGTTGGTAGCTCTTTGTATAGGGAAAGAAATAAAATATAAAAAATACAAACAAATAAGAATAAAAGGCTGTGAAAGGTGATGTGTTTTGCTAACATCTTCCTTGTTTGTTTAAGGATTTATCTAGTCTGATAAAGGAACTCCTAAGAAAGTATGATAAATTGAAAAGATCTAAGTGTGAACAGAAATCTGGTTCAGTTTTCCAAAATTTGTGTGAATGATGTAACTACTTACCCGACTTCTAAAATAACTAATTTCAGAGTGAAATGGTCACAACTGATCTGTGTAGTATATATAGAAAGAAAAAGAGATACTTACTTTTGAGTTATGAAGGCTTCTGCAAAGGATTGGATTGTGAAGAGAGAATTTGCAGGACCAGTTGGTGTGAACTTGCTGCACTCGTCAGAAAGATATATCTCCAGAACAAGTCCTGGCTGATGATGTGCAGTAAGGACTTGCTTCTATGGGACAGGGAATGGGAAGGCCTTTGTGAAGAGGCTGGTGGAGACCCCTCATGTTTAGGGATCCTCATTACCCCACAACCAACCATGGGTCTAAGTAGGACATGTACAAGGGGACTGTGCCAGTCTCGTTCCCCTGTCAGACCAGGCCAGGGAAATCAGGCAGCATATATGGTAGCATTAGTACTTGCCACACTTGTGGAAGACTTTTTTCACGCACAGAACATTACAGCAGATCTCCATGACTGCTGAAATTGTCGCAAATTACTTGATCTCTGCACTTGATTTCTATGATCTCATCCTGAGAAGCTCTTGCTCACACATGGCACAACCCTTGTAAGAGTGTAAAAACTGAGTGGACATCACTAAGATTTGACCTTCCAAAGCAGGAAGCTTACATTTTGCAAAACTGATGTTTGAGATGTTACACTCCTTTACCCAACCATGAAAGTTACTCCTCCAGCTCTTCTGATTCATAGTAAGGAGCTGCTGTCTTGGCTCAAACTGACACATTTAGTCAATTTAGTGTCAAATTTAGTCTGACACACCGCACGTACTCTGGACATGAGAATCAGGCCTCTACTTTACATCCATGGGGTTTTCACTGTTTTACAGGAACTTGAAGACTTGAAAAGTTTTCCTTGGAGGTCTGATGCTGTTACTGCAGGCAAACACCTTTACTTGCCAGTGAATGAGATAGTGGAAGGGATCCTTTTTTTGTTTTTTTTCTCCTGTGTAAACTTAAAGAAGGGTAAAATCTGCTCTTGTCAAAACAAATAGAAGGTTTATAAATGAGTTGGCTGGAATCAAGGTTTGCCTAAACTTGTGGCCTCAGAAATTGGCTACACTTTCTCCATTTCTCTGGTTTCTAAACAGAAGTGCAATTTAGAAGGTTCAAAATTGTCAACCTAAGATAGGCAGGACATTTAGCTATGGCAATGCAAGATACTGAAAAGCAAATATTTTCAGAAGGTTTCCATGAACACAAGAAACTGCTTTAAAATCTCTCTAAAATGTTGATTTCTGCAAGGAAAGAGACTAGGCTATGTGACTCAAAGCTTCTTGTGATAGCTGCTTCAAGACTATTTCAAAATATGGCGGCTAATTTTCTTGCAAAACTAAGGCTCTGGCTTAGGTAGGCCCAGGTACAAGATGATCTGGGATGTATGTGCAGTGTCTCCTAGCAAAAGATTTGGAAACTGTTCCAGTCCATTTGCCCAGTCACTGTAGATAAAACTGTGACTTACAAAATACAGCACCTTCCCATCAGACTGACCTCACTTATGGCATGTTTTGACCCATCCACTTTGACTTGACCTCTAGAGCCCAGACAGCTCAGGCATACTCTTGTCCTTCCAGCCCGGATCAGTCACAGACCACTAACCATAACTCCTCAATTTCTTGCATGCCTGTGTACTTCTTCTGTGAAGAAATCATGGAAGCCTAATCTGCAAGACTTGGAAGAGAAGGAAAAAAAGTTAATCTTTGTGCAAGGAAAAGCTTGCCAAGCTCAGAATAACAGCTCATTCTGGGAACTGGTCTAATGTTCTTATAATAGGTGGTAATTTTTTATTCCCGAGTTGGATAAGCTGGTAGGTAGCAATGTGAGCACACTGGCAGATGGTACTTGTGAGCTGATGCTGCTTGTCAGCCAGGCAAAGGCATATCACGAGTGCTGCTGTTTTGCAGCTGACAGGCAGCATCTCACATCCCTGGGTGCAGGAATCCCGTGAATATTAGTTACCAATTTTCCACAGGGCCTCCCCCACTGAGAACTCCTGGACTCCTGCAGAAAATGAAGCTGCTGCCCCTCCACAAAACCTCTGTAGAGGCTCGGTGCTTCAAGCTCTGCTCCAGGCGCGTGCAGCAGTTTGAATGTCTTCATCCAACTCATATCCTAAAGGTTCGTCCCGTCATCCGTCACCCACGGATCTACCCCTACCAGGAGCCACAGAAGACGAGAAATCCAAAGTCAGGGCTGTACTGCTGTAAGGCTTTGTGCTCCTTGACCCACCCCCCAACATGAGACCGCATTGTTTTGGTTTCCTCCCATCCTTCCCCCCCCTTTTATTCCGGCACACTCAGGTGACATTTTCCAACTGTTCCTCGCTGTTTGGACATTTACACCGCCTGGGATGCCGTGGTGGGACCCAGCCCTCACCGCACGGGCTAGGGCCGGCGTGAGAAGCCCGCAGGGAGACCCCCGGCCCCCGCCTCGCCCCGCCTGCGGGGGCACCGGCTACAGCCCCGATCCCCGCTCTGGCTCCCGGCGGCGGGGCGCGATACGTCCCTTCCCGGGAAGCGCTGCGATCCCACCGCCCGCGCCGGCGGGAGCGGGGCTTTCCCTTTCCCGATAAGCCCCTCCCGCTGCCCGCGCCTGACTCAGCCCCAGCCCCCCCCCGCACACGCCGCTTCCCGCCGCCGCCCGCGCCTGCTCCGGGAGGAAGAGGGGCGGCGGTGGCGGGCGGCCGAGCGGGACACGCCTTTCGCCCTCCCCGGCCCGGCCCCCCGGGCCCTGCCGCCCACCGCGGGCGCGGCGCAGCGCAGCGCGGCCGCCGCGGCCCCGCCATGAGCCGGAGGTAGCGGCGGCGGCGCCTTCTGCAGCCGCCGCCGCCCGCCCGCCCCGCCGCGGCGGCGGCCGGGCCCGCGATGCCGAACCAGAAGGGCGGCAAGGGCAAGAAGAACAAGCGCGCCAACAGCAGCGGCGACGAGCAGGAGAACGGGGCGGCGACGGGCGGCGGAGCCGCGGCGGCGGCGGGCGGCGGTGCCGCAGGTGGCGGAGCCGGAGCGGCGGCCGCGGGCGGCGGCGGCGGAGGGTGCGGCGGGGCAGGCGGATCGGCGGCCGCGGGCGGCGCGGCGCCCGGAGACGTCAAGAGCGGTGAGCGGCAGGGCCGGGCCCCGCGGCCTCCCGCGGTGGCGCAGGCGGCGGCGGGGACCCGGGGTGCGGCGCGGGGGGACCCGCGGAGCGGGGGCGCGCCCGGCGGGACGGGATGTGCGGGCGGGTGCCCGGGGCGGAGGGCGGGTGTCGCCCCCGGCCCTGCGCGGCTGCTGCCGGCGGGATCTCCCCGGAGCGCGCGGCGGGGCGGGGGCTGCGCGCCGGGGTGTCCCCGCCCGGTGTTCCTCCCGGCGGCCGTACTGAAAGCGGCCCCGCTGCGCCGTGGGCCGTAGCCTTGAGCGGCGGGGGCCGCCGGCCCGGGAGCGCGGTCCGCGGGCAGAGCGCATCCCCGGCGGGCGGGAGACGCGGCGCCTGCCGGCAGCGGCCGCGGCTCGTCGGATTCGGTGCTCAGTTGAAAAATCCCCGCTTTATTTCATCACGATTGAAAATGGAGTCCTGCCTTTCGGTCCGTTTCGTTTGCCGTTGTACAGCAGTTGGGTTTGTCAGGGTAACGTACTCACTTTTTCATCAACCATTTTATGGTGCTTTTGGTCGATGGGTTGAGTTTTGGTTCGGAGCAATTTTGGTAAGGTGTTTTTTTGCAGAAACTTGTGTTGCTATTCGTGTTTGTTTTACTGTGAAAGGATACGTCAGGCTAAAACTAAAGGCAGGCAAGGATTTTATTACACTTTTTGCTGAGCCAAAAAAACTCCACCTCTTAGGTCTGCTGCTAGGTTTACAAACTGTGGCATGGAGTCCCTACTCTTGACTTTTTTCCTTTCCCAAGTTGGATGTCAGCTTCTTACTCTTGATGCTTTACAAAAAGTGAGAGGGTAGCTACAATTGGTTCTATGCTTTGTGGTGGTAGTTTTGCCTTGGCTGCTTTCAGCCACAAAGGCAGTTTCAAGAGCCATAGTTTGGTTTTCAAGATGTCTGATTCCTGTGTATTATTTAATGGAAACTTTTCCTTGGAAATAGTAGCAATTAATTACGAATCACTTCAGCTTACAGGGTGTTTGCCAGACTGCTTTTGTAAGAGTATTACTTACTCCAGAGAATCATGGAGAAAGCTTAGAATTTCCTTTTTCGGTTTGTTTTGGTCTTTTTCTTTACTATTTGCTTTAAGTGAGTGAACAATGGGGGGAAAAAAGAAAAAGAAAGGTTACCAGGAGTTAGGGAATTTCTAGAGCATTTTTATCATAACTTCAGTATGGTGTCCAACGTTCACTTTGCAGGTGATGTCTCATACATGGCACCGTTGGCTTTCATTTAGGTGGGGAAAAGCAGTGTTTGGAAATTTTTTTGCTCAAGCACAAGTGGCAGCAGAGGTGCATTTCTGGTGTGGCTTTTTGCCTGTGGATAATGAGGTGGTGTTCCATGTGCAGATGCCCCAGAAGGTGATGCCACTGAACACTGGGTGGTGGTACACCTCTCTAGCTGGACAGGTTGTTAGTCTTCTTCAGCTGTGAGACTGTGTGTGCCAGGTGCCTGACTATCCTTCCTCTGTGCTGGCCAGCTTCCTCGGAAGTTGAGACTTGCCTGTTTGAGAGCTAACCTGAGGTGCTCCTTTATTCTCTCTCCCTGCTTCTGTATGACTTCAGTGTTCAGAAACATCCTTGACTATTTTGCCAAGACCCTCCCCTCCCCGTTTTTTCCCCCCTCACAGCAGATGTACAACATCAGCTTTGACATTTGCTGTAAGTGCCTGGTCAGCACACCTGATCCTTGCCTTGACATTGCATCTAGTCGTACCTTTCTTTTCAGATAATCATAAAGGCTGGAGGAGTAGATGTGGTTGCTAGCTTTATTTTACACTGGCTACTGCCCATCAGATAATCCTGAGCTGTAAGTTTCGTGAATTGTATTCTCACTGGTAAGTCCAAAGCTTTCAACAGTTTTGGTTCAGGAGATGAAAGGAGAAACTGTTCCTGACATGCTACAGAATTAGGAATCTGGCTCTCATATGCGAGGAAAAGATTAGATGATGATAATGGATTCCCTGAAGTCTTCAAAACCGATGAATCTGAAATGAAACTCTGTACTGTAGCCATGGCCTTGGAGACAACTAGCCCATTACTAGACTCAAGACATTTGTAAGAGGCTGTTCACTTTAGGGTTGCTTGATCACTAAGCAGTTTATGGAGGATGTGGCCTGCTGCAGTGAGTGGTGAGATTAATAGAGTTCTGTACACAGTCAAGCCTCACTTATTCATGGGAGACTATCTGGGTTGCGGATTAAGTGTGCTGGGTGCAGGGAAGCTCTTCATCGTGCTGCTTTTGGATTGTGCAGCTTCATGCTGTGACTCCTGCTACCCAGGTTCACTGGTGCTGTGGATCCCCAGGCTCATTCTTCTCTCCTGCATTGTCACCATATGCTGTTCTAGAGTAATTTGCATATGCCTGGTCTCATCGGTCTCCTACTCTATCTTTACCCTGGAAAAGCAAAGGATGGTCATAATAACATAACCTGTTTTCTTTCATTAATGTGACAAGACAGAAGTATGCAGAGATGAAAGCATCAGATTTAATAATTGAAAATGTCTGTGCAAACCTTGGCTTTGCATCATGGTGTCAGTATGACAGTCTAATTATGCAGTCACATCAGGACTCTGCTTCACTCACGAAGAAATAGTGATTCGGATATGGGTTTTTTTAAGTTTTCAGAGTTCATTCTATGTTCCATGTATTATTTCTGCCCCCACCCACGTGCCATAATGAAACAGAATTTTCTAATTTCGTCTGGCTTATCCGTGGAGCTTGACTAGTGGTGCTATGTAGTAGGGAACTGCTGTTACAGCACCCCTTTACGGTGGAAAGTTGTTCCCTTTTACTTTTTGATAAATTTTGGTTCAATCCCTGCACAATTTTCCCTCAAACTATCATTCAGTTTTTGGCATGATATCTGAGAAATACCAGCTTTTCCCTTACCCCAAGAGGGCATCTGTTTATGCTTTTTTGTTGTTGTTGTGATGTTTTAATTTTTACGTGTTCAGAAATCAAATTGTGCTCGAAGGGTTCTACAGTCGTACGTGGGAATCAGGAAGACAGAGAGCATAACCACTGACAGATGTGATGGCTTTTCTCCATCTTGCACTGTGATTTCTTAGCAGGTATTGGGATGATGCCTAGAAAGAGGATTCACATTTTGTGGCTGTGCCTTTCATTCCTCTCTCTTCAGTTAGACCAAGCAGGAAATCTGTATATAATAGAGTAATCTTTCTTGATGAAAGGAGTGGTCATTTTCTGCATTGAATGAGGCACAAGTTGTGGGAGAGAGAAGTGTGGGGTGTGGGTAGACTAGTTTAACAGTATCATAGTGTACAGAGAGACTGAGATGTGGTGTCACAGAAAGCCTCATTTCTTAGATTCCTTGTCTTTAGAGTGATTAAATAATGTTTCTAAAATGTTTTTAGTTTTCTTGATGGTTTTCTGGGTTACTTTTCATAACCAAACTGAAAAATCTGAGTGGTTATCATGTAACATTATGCCAGCAGCTGCATAGGATTGTGCAACCTCATTGACACCAGCATTCCTGATGGCAGTAGTTGGTTCCCTTTATCTGTAGACATAAAGAAGTGTAACATTTTGTGGATACTTTGCCCTGATCAGCAGAAGAGGACGATGATCGAGGGGGTTTACTTTCAGGTCTGAGGCTCTTGAGTAGCAAATTCCTATTCTGTTCCTGCCATGCTGAGGCTGGGCACTTCTACACCATCAGGTCCAGCTGTTTTATCCCTTTGTCCTCTGAACTTCTAGCTTTAGTCTCCACATGCTATTGTTTCTGACCCTAAAATTCTTTATTCTGTCCATTTTCTTTGACTGGTTTCCATTCTTGGTGTCCCTGTCCAGTAGACCCAGGTCCTCTTCCTCCACTTGGTGGTTGCTGTCTTAGCATCTTGCTGCTTCATCTCCTTGTCCTTGTCACTCTGGTCTCTCCAGCACTGGTGCTGTGAAGAGATGAAAGAAAGAAGCTGGCTCTCCCTACCTGTATTTTCCCCTTTAACATGGGGTTAAATAAAGCCAGCTTAATTAAATTCAATGAAAAAGCTGTTCCTGAATTGTTGTCTTAACAGTATACTGGCCACCCGTTTTAAGACCATAATTTTCCCCTTCTGGTATAGGTCAGCCCTTAAACTGCACAAGTGTCAGAGCTGGAAACTTGGTGGGCTGTCAGGTGGAGCAGCCAGCAGTCAGATTTGTGTCAGATTTGAACACTCTTTACCTAAGTTTCACAAATTTTTTAGACTTATGTACTTCCAAATAAAAATGCTAACGTAGAACAAGTGTACGAAGAAGGAAATCAGCACAACAGTGACTAATGTGTTGAAAACTGTGACTGGCCAGCAATTATGATTTACTAAAAAACAGAAATTATATCCTGGAGGTGGGATAGTTACAGAGGGCCAGAAAATTTGTCAGTGCAATGTTTAATTTAAAAACGTATTTTCAGAGCATGAATTGTAGTAATATTTAAGCCTGGATTAATATTTGCTGTCAAATGTTCCCTGCTGCATATAACATTCAGTTCCAGTTTGGCACTCTAATGATATTCAGTATTGGCACCTTCTGATTATTTAGCCTGAGGGAGTCCCATTGATATCAGTGAGGCCACCTGGAAAATTAAGTTTCTATTCTGTTGCAGTGACTACAGAATTTAATACCTATTAATTTACTAAAGGGAAATAATTTTGCTTCATAATTCCATTGCATTCGTCTAACTGCAGAAATCAATTGAATGCAAATTTTGCTGTCTCAATGCAAATCAGGCTTGAAAGGACTTTCATGTTAGTTTTAGAATTTTTAAAACTATGCAATTACATGCTTTGGTAGCAAATACAGTTCATGTTCTGCAAATCTTTGCAAATGGAATCATGTCTATGGTATTAATGAATAAAACAAATACTGTTCTTTCATGCAAGCACGTACACACCCATTTAAGGTTTTTTTTTAAAGTTATTTGCTATCAAAATGGTTATCAGTGACCTGACAGCATTCTCTGTTCA